GGGGGGGGGGGGTCCCTAGGGGGAAACTAAAGGTTGAGGGAGGACCTATCCACAGGAGTGTCTTTGCTTCTCCAATTTCTGTCCCTGGGCAGCCCCGCTCTCAGCTGCACGCTCAGAGCCATGATGAAGCGGGGCAGGGGCTGCTGCACCAGCACGGCCCTATGTCTCTCCCAGGGCCTTCCAGCCACCCAGCTGAGCTGCCCTACTGGGTGGCCGGCAGCGTCAGGTTTCCAGAGCAGCGCAGCCATGCACAGCAGCCTTCTCTCCAGGGCACACCCCACGGGGCTTCCCTGCAGATCATTAGCCTGTTCTTACAAGACAGGAACAGAGGTGGTCGGTGGTCTGGGCCTGTTTGGTTTGTTTTTAAGATACACTATGAAGTTCAGGACTGATCCTGAGGCATCATGCCCTTGCTTCCCAGGAGAGAGTGGAGGGGTCCTTGCGGCGGGAGGGAGGGTGCTGACTAACTCAGCCGGCAGCTAAGTCCACCAGTGGACACCCCTTCCCACGCAGGCCTCGCGGCCCATGTGCTGCTGGCCTCTGCCCTTTGCCAGCTCCCTGTGCCAGTTTTAGAACTCATTTGTTTGTTCTAAAATGAGCTCTTCCTGTTTATCCTTCGGAGGCCAGTAAACAGTGTGGTGCTGGAACTCCTGCCGCCGTTCACTGGCCGCAGAGGTTCAGGAAACCCGCACACTCAAACTGGTCCAGAAAGGAACCCGGGATCTCCAGACGCCAGCAGGGCTCAATTCCCTGGAAGCAGTCTTACCTTTTGCCCAAAGAAACATGTTCAATATTTGGGGCGTTCCCTCTCACGAACCTTAACATTTCTGTTCCCTCAGGGCCTTGGTACCTAGACTGCCACAGACTTGGGGGAGGGTGGGGTGGGGTGGGGCTATTTTTAAATAAAACATGTGTTCAAAGTGGGGGATGTTTTTAATTGAGACAAAGGAAAGCTATTCTGTATTGCACCTTTTCACGATTTAATACATTTTCTTAACATGTGCCTGTGACTTCTGAAACTCACCCATCGTGTGTGCCGTCTCGTCCTGGTGGGGGTGCCGCCACAGCGTCCTCCGGGAAGGTCTGGTGCCTTGCTGCCTGCTGGAGGGGCCTGGGGCTGCTGGGGCGGGTCTCTGTACACACTTGTTTGGGCTTTTCTGTAGTTGATGCTGTAAACTCTATGGCTTTTTAAAACCGATTTCATGTTTTTATTTAGTATTGGAAATCCAATACACTTTTTTAATCCAATCAAATTCTGGTCTGGTGGAAGCATTTTTTTCCCCTGTTTTTTTGTTTTGTTTTGTTTTTTCATTTTCCTTAAGAGGACTCAGGGCCCCTGATCCCCTGGCTCTAACCCATTGCCCCCGGAACTATAAAGCCAGGAGATCAAAGGGACTACCCAGAGCTCCAAAGGCAGAGCCCATCTCTGTCTCTGCTCCCAGCCCCCTGTCACTGCCCTGTGGTGACCAAGCTGACTGTGGAGAGCCATGAGAGCCCAGCAGAAAGGGGCAGCTGCCTGGCAGGGGTGAAGGCAGCACCCACTTCAGGGCCTGGCTCTCCCTGAACGAATACACACACACACACACACACACACCCCACACCCAACCCACCCACCCCTGCAGGAAATGCTATCTGCTGAAAGAAAGCACCGTTCTCAGGCTGCTTTCTCTGACCTCCTGGCTGCCTCCACCCTACATGCTGGTCCTGTGGTTAATGAGGCTTAAGGTCGGGGAACAGCGATGAGGGACAGCCTGGGCCCTGCCCTCCGTGACAACAGAGTCCTTGCTAACTGCTCCCTCCACCCCAGTCATTCATCTGAAATTCAAACCCAAGCGACATTCCCATTCACGTGCCCCTCTGGCCCCGGTAAAGTTCCAGCCCCCAGTATTTAAAATCTGCTAGGCAGACAGACCCTAGCCTCTGAGGTCAGACCCTTGGCACCTCGTGCCCCCAAGCACCCAGCTGAGTAAGACTATTTGTGAGACACTCGGGCTCAGCACATGGTGTTCCTTCTGCCCGGACCACCATCACCCTCTCCCCTGCCCTCAAAACTGCCTCAATGCACCCTCCCCTTGAGCAGTTACTCGCATCCCAACAGCCAGAAACCTACCAGTGCCCTCTCCTCCTCCACATCCCTAGAGGGAGCTCTTGGCACATCTGAATCTCTTTCCACCAGGCCATGGGCTCAGTGGGGGCATAGCATGTCTTCTGAGTGCCAGGGACTGAACAGCAGATGATTATCCCCTGTAGTGTGGAGGGGGGATGCAGCAGTCACGAGGAGTTAGGACCTGGAGCAGCCAGGTAGGAGGCCTACACCCACCCATTACACCCACCTGGTTTTTCACCGGTCCTAGTGTTACTGGTGCCAAGACCCTTCTCAACAGCCAGTGACCCTGGGCACACCTGATGGGTAACCAACACTCTCCGCCTGGCAAAGGGGCAAGAAAGGATACTGCTGCCACCGATGGCCAACTGGGTGCCGGGATCTGAAACAGGAGTCCTCCACATTGGTTCTAGGAAAGACACTCGGAATAAGGCTTGCACCAAGAAGAAATCCCCTCTTCCCCTAGTCCACTGTGCCCACTCAGCCCCCTCCCTTCCTGCCAGGGCTAAGGGGAGTGCCTGCATCGGGAAGCATGAGAATGTGGCTACCACTGCAGCCCATGGCCCAGGTTCTGTCTGTCTTGTGAGCTCAGCCTCTCACAGTATTGTTACTTGATTTCCTGACAGCAGGAACCGATCAGAGACGGACATCCCAACTGGAGGGAACCCACGTGGGCTGCCTTCCTCATCCAGCCGTGAGATGTCTCTGAGCCCCAGGAATCCGCCATAACCCATGCCCAGACCCATGCACTCTTCTCCATCTCTGGACCCTTGCTTTCCCTCTAACTCACGTGGGATACCACCACCAAACTGGTAGGGATGGAGAAGCAGGGTCCCCCGAGAGACCACCCCTACCACCCAAGGGGGGCCCGGCAGCAGATGTCTGGGCTGCACCTCATGTGAAGGGAGGGATGTGCATCAGTAGTTGAAGGGAAAGAATGAGGAGCTCATCTTTTTGGGGGGAGGTATGGAATGTTGGAGAAAATTCTATTTAAAACAATAGTTTCCCTCCAAAAGTGGATGGCATTTATCTTGAGGTACCCTTTCAGGGTAGGTTTGGGGAATGAAAATCTGGGCCCCAGAGCTGAGCTGAAGGAGCGAGAGGGAGCTGGGAGCCCCCTAAAATAATGGGGGGCACCGATGGCAGGTGCAGCCAATCAGAAGTCAGAGGCCAAGGAGGATGTGTAGGACAGTGCTCCGGGAGGAAATGGTTGGACTTGAGTTGCAAAGGCCCTCTTAGAAATATCGGGTAGGTGATGGCGGGTGGCTTGCTATTTGTGCGTGCACTTCTGTAAGGCAGCCCCTTCCTTCAGCTCCCAAACCATTGAGTTGACCCTGATGCAGCCACAGTATTGCACAGAATAGAACTGGGATTTCTAAGTGGTAAATCTTTATTGGAAGCTGAGAGCCTTATTTTTCTCCCCAACCAGATTCAAACTCAATCTTTCGGTTTGCAGCTCGGTGCTCAACCCACGGCACCAACAGGGCTCTTTAGCGTGGGTATAAGACCAGAACACCTCACTCGCTGCCGGTGCATCCATGCTGACCACCCTGTAGGACAGGGTGGAACTGCCCCTGCGGGTTTGCAACACTAACCTTAGGGGAGTAGAAAGCCCATTCTTCCTCCCACAGAGCGGCTGCTGGTCTCTAACTCCTAACCTGATTACATAAGCTGGCAACCTGATTACATAAGCACTGGCCACTAGGGTTCCCTGTCAGCCTGGTCTAGTGCCTGCCATCTGGATAGGCAGCCCATGACCCCCAGTTGGGATTAGGTCACTGGATGCCGGAACTTAGAGCCAAGTCACCAGAATTTCAACCTGAGAATTCACAGAAAACTAAGGAGGATGGGAAAGACCTCCAGACCTCTTGAGGGTCAAGTGTCCAGTCAGCCTTCGCCCTGTATAAAGAGTCAAACTGACCCAGCTGGTGTCTGGGTTGCAGTCATTTTGCATTTCCCCCCTCTCCATCTCTCAGCCTGGGGTCAAGCTCCGATCATTCCCTCAGAGATGTGCAAGGTTCCTGTCCCGTCACTGCAGCTGCCTGCGGTGAGCCTGGCCTTCCAAAAGAGAATGTCCTCAGCACCACAACTCAGAAAATCCTACTGGTTGTCCCGCCCAAATATCCCTGATGGAGTCCAGCTCCGGGAGAGAGGGTTGAACTGGATTCCTGAAGGAGGTGTGGAGTCGGCGGACACAGACGAGACAGACACGAGAGATGTTCTGGTGGAAGCAGTCTCTGCCGAGTTCTTTCAAACAGCTTTATTTATACCATAAAGTTTTGCAGACCACTACATAGAAACAGTGCTTTATGATTAACTCCAAAATCACCCTTATTGTTTCCACTAAAACCTGGTAAAAGACCATTATGAGGTCTGTACTTTTTTCTATCACTTTCTGTCCTCTTCCTGGTTCTTTCCCCCTGTACTGC